GTCGGGTCATATCTCATCCGCGAAACGCGTGGTGTAAATTCATGGAAATGGCGCGATTCGTGGCTTCGACCAGCGGCGTTCATCAGGGGAGAAAAACGAAAGGAAAAGCTCGGAGCCGCGAAGTGAGACGGTCGAATGGAAATTACTCCGGGACGAAAACACGGGGACGCGTCTGCGTGGTTCGGGCTTAACTTCGTTTCCGGTGGCGCGATTTATTAATCGGGACCCGTGCTACTTCTGCCGCGCGAAGAACGCCAGATAACTCCGTATAATAACTCACGCACTCGTCCGCGCAGGATTTTCTTTCGTAAGCTAAATATTCGCCGTTGGAAAAACAGCGTCGTAAATTACATGGCCGAGCCGAGTCGGTGGCGATACTTCGCCGGGGAAAATACAATCTTTCGGAATTGCATTTTTGCAGCGCGCGGGAGCAACGGAGGTTCGCAATGGCGGGAAGAAAAGGAGGATAGGCCGTTTCGCAAAATGGCGACGATAACGCGGAATATTTACGCTTATGAGCGTAGTTGGGCATTGAGATCGAAGGTAAAATGGAAAGAATATCGCGCATGGTCGTTATGGAAGAGAGCGTTGTTTGGTCTATCGGTTGCAACTCGAATTTGAATTTACGACAGGTCCCGAGGTACTGTTATGCAATTACCGTGACTTCGAGACAGTTATGGGTTTCGAGTTATTCGATAAGGAAGACGGACGACCCAGAGATTCTTCTTTGTATCGTCTTTACATGGATTTGCAGAAAAAGTATACTTAGAGAACACTGAATACTCGCGCGTAGTTAATTTCTCGTATTCTCCTAACCACGGTTTATATAACAACGGAGGATAGATACTGAAACATGATTTCTGAAGAATATCATCCTAACAACTTATTTAAACTCGCATTGTCGCTGATTTGTTATTATACAACGACGGAGGTTGCATTATTCGCATTACGAACAGGTGCAATTACATGCATAAGCTTCTATTACAATTGCGTAACGATGACTCGTTGGCGCGTTCATTTTCATAATTAGACATTTTTTTTTCACGCTCTTGCGAATGAGATGTAAAACTCGATAAATCTTGATTTCCGATTTCTCTTCATCGTTTGTTCGTAGAAAAAATCGACAAAAATTGAACGCCGAGAAGAGGGAAAAGAAAAATTATCGACGCGTCAACGAGACTTCTTACCGATTCATCGTAGCTGAAAATGAGAGTGAAAAATCTGGATAAAAACGGAAAGCACCTGGAAGAGGTATATATAACCCGGAGAAGGGTCGGGTATAGGAGGGTCATAAATTAAAACATCGAGTAGCGCCACCGACCAAGATCTTAAAGCCTTGAACTCGCTTAACGCCGATTGTACATTCCTTTTTACGATTCTACATAATAGAAAAGGCGTCGAGCTATGACTAACGGTATCCCCATTTCCAAACCCAGCAGCTACAAGCATCGGCCGCCATTTAATTCGCACGATTCGTTTATAAACATGGACATTTATTCCAGAGACTCCCATAAATTTAATACATCGAAGGTACATTAGAAATTCCATCTCACTCTCCAGTCGACATTTCAGGTCCTCTTGTACCCACATTTCCGACGACTCTTCCATCTCCATTCCCGAAACACGATTGCCTTCACTACTGACCGACTTTCGATCTCTCTACGCGTTCATCGCGGTAGATCTAGCAGGGAGAAAAAGAGGATCGAGATCCGCTGAGAGACGAAGGCTGTTCCTTCCGGTAAACAGAGTAGGATCGCATCGAAAATTCGCCATGGAAATTTACCGCTAACTTACTGACGCTCGACCATATCGTACTATCATAATTACGATTCAATTGCGCGACGATGGACGGAATTCGCTTATAAATTATATATTATATATTATAATGGTTATAATAACGGACGCGATAATAGAATAATCAACGACGAAGTACTCTATCGACACAGAGACGTGATAAATGAACAGATCGAAGATACAGGTTGCCAAGACGAGGCGACGATAGCTAAATACGCTTACAATATGGAACAGAATATCATGGCTGTGACGCGAGTATGAGATATAATAACGTGTCGCGTGTAATGTGTAAAAATGGAGATAATGGAAAATGGATGGGGCTATTGATTGACAAGAATGGGGGTTGATAGCGTAATCAAGACGAATTAAGGCGACTGGATAATTGGACGCTCGGGACATTTTATTCCACGCTTATTTACAGAAGCGACGACAACCAATGTGACGCTGATTAAAATAACGTAGCGAGCGAGTTAAGAGCGAGTTATTTAATAGATTACCGGTATGTCAAGAGCTATTTGCGTAGGTTATCGAATGCCATTTTTGCCGACTTTACGTGATAATAGCGTGTAACTAGCGAGGAAGAGTCGTCGATAAATGGGCTAGTTAATGACTCATGCTAGAAAAGCGTAGAAAATCGAGAGTGTTGTCTTTATAAGGCAGAGAACACGCTCGGTGCTTTACGTAATAATTAAATCCGGGATCTACGACGATAGTTTCCCGCGATTCTTGATATTCGAAATTCACCTAATAAGTAACACCTAAATTCGATATGACCCGTTGAAATCTCGCGGGATGAATAAATACGCGAGTCGCGACGAAAAATTTGCGGTAAAAATCGCGATGGAGAAAGAGGAGAGAAAGTCTATGTGCTGCGCGAATTTAAGAGGTAGGGATCCGAGTGTGCCAGTTATTTAATATTTAAAACGACAGAAGGAGGAAGTTTGAACGCGGAAAGAAGTGCGGATCCGCGAGAAGGAAGTTCGAATTCTTACCTCGACCGCGTAAAAAGTGGGAGACCTTCGATAAATTAAGAAACAGCTGAATAACTCGCTCTCCAAAAACGGCGCAAAACGCGGATTATTAATAGGAATTCGCGTCATAACATTCCGACGAACCTGATCGATACGACTCTGAATAATGAAACCTGTTTCGAACTCTGGACGATAATAGATGGAACAACGTTGTTCTGACAACTACGTTCCAGTCAGAGGCGCGAGACGTTTGTAATTATGAAGGATACAAAGGATAAATACGAATATTTCCACGATCTATTAGTGAATCTCGAATGACGAAGACGAGAGAAAATGTTGCTTCCTCTATTAACCTTGGTTTCGCAAAATTGGAAAGTGCCGTTGCTCGTGTGTGACGGCTAAGGAACGAGGGTAAATTGATCACGACATACGTACGCGTATACCGGTGAAGGCCGGTAAATCTGTGTTAAAGGACTCGAGTCATTTATGCTTCCATCCCTTAATAAGAGACGTACCGTAACGTCAACCATAAAGCCTCGGTACGCGATGTAACCGAGTTTCGAAACGCGCGCAGCGTCGGAACGTAAACGAATTTTACATGAATTTTACGCGAATTTTCGATGAATTTCGTGGCAAACAGGAGCCAGCTTGTCGAGTGAAAAATTAAAAAATTACACGACGAGAAGTGCTCGCGATGTACACGTACAACGATGGCATATTTTTTTCGACAACGCGAGGACTATTCCACGATAATCACGGTCGATGCACAGTGCGCGAGGATACGTTAACGCAAAGTGGTACATACCCAACGATCGCGTTGCGTGCAAGAATGTTACCTCTGGGTGAGCTTTAGGTGCGGAGCTCGTCTTCGCGTGCTTTTGTTGCACGGCGCGACAACGGCTTTTCGAGACGAGTTTAAACACAGCGCAGTTACATCCAAGTCATCCAAACTCGTAAACGCGTAATAAAGCGATCTTCGGGTTACATCTGGTCGTCGAGGTGAGCATAAATTCCGACAAGTGTCAACGCATCTGTGTTAAACATCCCGAGACGGTACGTGGGAATATGATAACGATATTACTATCACGTATGACCTCATGTTCCGTGGATTACGCAGATGCATGTGAAGTCATTAGATGGTAACGCAAAAGACCTTCGTCTGGAAATAACTATATTCGATTTGTATTAATATCCTCGTATACCATCTACTTTACATCGCTTTACACTACTTCTATCAACGCTATACTTGACAAGTTACTCACCGATCACGTGTAACAAATTTCCAAATTAATCTCGATAGTTTCCTCAAACAAATCTCACTGAGTTTTTCTCCGGCCAGAAGTCGCTCCCTTATTAAAATAATTAATCGCGTCAACACGATAGGAGCACACGAAGGGACGGTAAACCGAGTAAATAAGCTCGGAAGCCTAAGGAGCAGCGGTGATAAATCGCAATCCTGAAGGGTTTAGGGTGCGAGCCGCGTTACCATTGTCTTAATGACACGTCGGCCATAAAGCGTCGACTCGTAACAGAGGATCGAAGGTTACAAAGCGAAGGCAACTAGCTCGAAGCGGGCAGGACAAGCGTGTAAAGCCGTTTCCATGTCTCTTGCTGCGGCCCCGTCTACGGGATACGTATCACGGAATCCTGTTAGTATCTTAGTTGGCTTTATTTCCGGTATCTCCGTGCCAGGCTAAACCGGAATCGTCGTTCCGACACGTACTGCCTGTTTACGATGGCTCACCGCGTTGCGCCATCGACGAATGTTTTTTCTCCTACAGCTGGGCCTGACCGGTGCGGATCGAATGTTTGGGTATGACTTCGGGACGAATACTGTCGCCATCGTTGAAATCGCCGACGTCGAGAACTTCTTGAAGAAATCGTAGACAAAGTAGTTCCACTGTTTGAACGGACTTGAGATTTTTTGGCTGGACGAGGACTTCGAGGACTCTCGAAGTCGCAGGAGCAATTCCGCCTAGAGAGTCCAAGGCAAAACTAATTTTTAGAAACTTACTTTAACCTCCATGTGTAATTACTTCGGATAGTTTTCAAATACCGATCTACCCGAAGATCAAGGTACTTACTTTGAGAAGTGATCACGACAGTGTCCAAGTCTCTTTAAAGCGAATATAGTCAGTTAGAAGCTCTCGATTATGCGCGATGTTTCAATGTTTACAGTAACAACGAGGTACATTAATTCTCGAATTAAACGAGTTTCTCGCATGCATTCCACAGCACACTTACCACGCAAACCAATGAAACAGACTCCCCCGTGCACTCGCGTGTATCCACCCCAACAGCTGCCTCATCCTTCAGTCTTCGAACCGTGCGAGTATAAAACGTGAAGAAAGTCTCGATGACAACCATGGAGCTCGGCATACTGCGACAGATATTTATCGGGATAGTGTGTAAGTAACGCTTTATCAAAATCGAACCGACAAGGTAGACCGTGGGACGTGAAATCGGTGGGTAGAGCAGGGATTGAGCATTCGAAATTATTCATCGTCGCGCAGGCAACCTTCTGATCATCGACAGCGGATTGAACGAGGGATGGAGCACTCCCATTATACCCAAGTTCGAGCAGGACGACCCTTTGAAGGTGTCCAGCGACGAAGTGGCCTGCGTAGTGAATTTGATGTACGTTGGGGTTGGACTCGGCTCGATCGTGCCGTTTCTTTTGATGGACAGGATCGGTCGCAAAGGAACGTTGCTGTTCGCCACGATACCAAAGATCGCCAGCTGGATTTTGATCGGCTTGGCAGCCACCATTACGCAGCTTTACGTGGGTAGAATACTGGCCGGCATTGGCTGTGGAATAACGTACGCAGTGATGCCTATGTATTTGGGGGAAGTTAGCAGCAAAAGGACTCGTGGTCCATTAGGTAGTATCTATTTTCATTTTTTACTCTACTTATTTTATCTTACTCCTCGCTTTTTATTATTTTAGCCTCATACCTTTCATTGCCTATTATCATTTTCCTTCCTTTTTCTTCATTTTTAGTTACTCGTATCTTCTATTTAATTACATTCTCTCCTCTCCCACATTTTTCCCCTCTAGTGCATCGCTATCAGGTTCCGTAACCTACTTGCAGCGAGAATGAAGAACTCTGTGCGTAAAATTTTAGGGGACAAGTACAGGCGATGTTCGAATAACACGGTTAATTGGTCCCGCGTTATAACGCTCTAATTATAACACAATACTCGCGTTATACGAACACTATCCACTGAGTGCTTACCTACCTGTTGTTAACGGAACGGCAAAAAGATAATGCCCTGAAGGACGATTAAAAAAGCTACGTTTAATAGGTATACCGTGTTACTCGAGTCAACCCGTACAAAATTCCTTCACCAACCCCGTGTAATTACCCGTCTCACCGACACAGTGCTAATTTTCTCTCGACGATTAAAACTAACCCTGGCGCGTAGGACGGTCACGTAGCCTAACCCAATCTTACAAACCTGAAACGCTTCATCGCGAGCAACGAAACGTTTCTCGAGTGATCGAAAAGATAAGGAGACAAAGTTGTGGTCCAGGTACCCTGATGGCGGTGCTACTAAACACGGGCATGATGCTAGCCTACGCGATCGGCTTATGGGTGTCTCGTTTCACCATGTCCATGATCGCCGTCACGATCCCCGTAATATTCCTCGTGACGTTCGTGTGGCTGCCGGAGAGCTCGGTGTTCCTCACGAAGAAGAACAAGCTAACGTCCGCGGAGAGGACATTAAAGTGGGCATTAGGGAAGGACGACGTCGTGGAGGAACTCGAGGAGATCAAACGGATCGTGGCGACGGAAGACCTCAACTCCGACAGGACGTTCGCGAGATCGCTGAAGGAGATGTTCAGCAGACGCGAGAATCGTCGTGCTTTCGGTATCGCGGTGATCGTTCTGAGCGCGTTGACCTTAACCGGGGCGGCACCAATGCTCGCTTATCAGTCGTTCATATTCGAGGAGGCTGGCTTCGAGGTCTCGACGAACGTGAGCATCGTGATGACCGGATGCGCGCTGGTGCTGGCTGGCAGCGTGTGCGTGTTGCTGGTGAGGCTGGCCGGCAAGAGATTGCTGTTGCTCATCTCCACGCCGGTCTGCATCCTGTCTCTCACGTCGATGGCGATCTTCTTTGGGCTACTGTCCAGCGGCCACGACGTCTCCAAGCTGCGATGGATGCCTAGCGTGTTCCTGGTGATTTATGTGCTAGGCTACGGGCTCGCGCTCAACCCCGTGCCACTCGCCTACGTGGGCGAGATCTTTCACATAGACGTCAAAGTACCCGCGGCTATATTCTGCTCCCTCTATTACGCCATCACCACCACCACTGTGGTGAAATTCTATCAGGTGGGTTTGCGACCGAGCGTCGTTCGCGGGAACCGCGCGTCGATTTTCGGTCTTTGGGTCGCCGTGGAATTGTACCGGGTTCAACGAAGCTGTGATTTTCGCGATAATTGCGTGAGAATTGGCTTCATTGCTCGGGGTGATCCACGCAACTCGCGTTACATTTTTATACACGGGTCGCGTGTCTTGCACCACGCTATTACGAAATTATTTATCGTTGGGTAAAAAAAGAAAAATGCATATACTATGCAATGCAGTTCTCTATAGCATAAACGCTAATATAAAAAAGATGGTCGCGTTATTTTGGAAGTTATTCGAGCTGGACGCGTTACGTGGACCACCCTTGCAGCGCAAAGTTGGGAAAATTTAACATTTTCTTTATTTACCTTTTATTTCCACGCTGGAAGTATGTTTTTATTATGATAGATCGTGGAATATAAACGAAACGTTATCTCTGGTTTTTTATTTTGATTAGGGAAATGCTTTTTTATTATTTCATTGTATATAGAGCGTCGAGTGTAAACTAAATATTAATCCTCTTTATTTACACTTTTTCGAGGTTTCACGATTATATAACGATTCGCGATAATAAATAGCAATTCGATTCTATTCGCAATGAAACGTTATACTGTCAAGAATTTTCGACGAAACGGTGGAAAATCGAACCAGAGGTGTTCGATGAACACACCCGTCCACGAGCCGAATATTTTCAAATCTCGGTGAAACGCGTAAACGAAGGAGGACTCGGAAAATATATTTCCAGGACGACCCGAATTCGCATCTCCGTTATTAACGGGGATAATCGACGTCGCGCGTAATATCGTAATAGATTGGAGCACGATCGAGTAATTGTCACGCCTTATTCGTAGGTACTGCAAGAATCGTACGGAACGTATATGCCCATATCGATGTTTACCGTGATTACTTTCCTTATATGGCTGCTGATTTATCGATACGTGCCGGAGACCGAGGGGAAGACCTTGGAGGAGATACAAATAGAATTGCGTGGAAAGAACTGACAATTTCCATTAACTCGATATTGCGTTGTGAATTATTTAATAAAGAATGTACGATACCTATATGGAAATAACGCGTTTCTCCTTTTTCCTTTGCTTCACAGCGTTACACTCGTTCAATTGTAATTCCAAATATAACGGAACGGAGTTTCCCTGCTCTAATTCTAATATCCAATCGGGGCGGGCTTTGAATATTTAAGGGAGATTATTAGTTCATCTGGAGATGTTCTAACTTTAATCAGAGTTTCAACGATGTTCGACGTGTAATAATCTCGTCTTCGTAACTCGCGAGCGGACGTGCAATGACAACTTATTGTCCAATTACGTAGCTAGTTTTCCCTTGAATAAAATTACCTGCGATCTACGGGTGTTCATTCGACCGAACAGAGCATCGATTTTCATAAGCATCGGGTTTAGGGTTCCACGGGAACCACGGGACATTTTCGTTCTAATCTAAACTCTCGCCGAGCTTCCTTCTCGAGGGGATAAAAAATTCACGACTCGAGATGATAGCCGGGTGAAAGAAGAACTGGAAGTACGATACCGAAAGCGAATTGCGTGAAAGGTTAGGATAAAAAGGTCACGCGTGGAAGAATTATTCCCGAAATGCGGTATACGAAAAGTCGAAAGCACCGGTGGCGCGGCAGATTAATGGCGTCGACCAAGGGTATCACGAAAAACGCATAGAACGCAGAGCGATTACGCAAACAGCGTCGAAAAAAAGTCGGGAAAAAGTGGGAAAAAAGTTGGAAAAAAGGGGATGAGACGGGGGTTGGTCGGTGATCAATACCCGACGCGCTCTTGATTCCCCGGAATCAGGCAGGACGGAGAGGGCAAACTGTAATTTCGACAAATTACACTCGAAACTGCGTCGGAGGGTTGGACGGGGCGGAAGAGGGTCGTGGGAGTCGTTTGATCGCCAAGTTCCCTGTCTGCAAAGAGAATCGTTAAGCAGCGATATCGCGGCGCGGAGGCGTTCTCCCGCCATCCTCAAACTATTTGACTTTGAGTTTAAAAAACGCGCGTGCCGCGTAACCGAACTGTGCTCGAAACTGGCTGCAGCTTTCTCGTTCGGTGTTTATTTAGAGCGGCCCGACGAGGATTTGTTTGCGTCCGCCGCGTCATACGAAATTTTCCCGGGGCCAGTGTATACACACTTTGCTGGTTTACCGAGCTTTGATAATCCTTTTACCTCCACCCGCCCCTTTTGTCTTCTTTTTTCCGCCCTCCTTCCTCGTTTTCCACTTTTCTCTTTATTCCCAGTTTTGTCTGTTGGTTTACAATTAGTCCGGCCGCGAACAATACCAGCGCGCTGTCCGACTATCGTGGTACGTTTTGGTGAATGACCGACCACGGAATTGGCCGTAGTTTGGAACGTTTTTCAACTTGGAACACGGACAGCCCTCGAACCACGCGGATAATCTGCTTCGTGGTTTTTCCAAACCGTGCTAAGCTCGACGTGCAATTCGACCATCCTCTGTCATTGGAAATCTCTGTCGAATATTCGGAACACGATCCCTAGGACATGTCATACCCTATGTGACAATTTTTAAACATCCCCTTAAAATTTGGAAAAGTTTGGAAAAGAAGAAAGAAGACGAAAATCGCGATGACCTCAACGATGTAATTAAATACCTTCTTTCTGGTAGCACAAAAGCTTCGAAGAATGAAAATATCGAGAGGTCTATACCTAAGCGAGCCTAGATACACCGTCCGAATAAGGGATGGCGATAATCTTTCTGGAAGGAGGGAAATTAATAAATTTGCTAACGACTTGGGATTGTATTTTTTGGAGAAAAGACGAGCTGCGTAATTGGAACGATAATTATTGGAATAGGACGATATTTGTATCCAATCGCGATTTCTTGTATTGTCGCGTTCGCGGTAGACCTGGTGCACGGTGCTCCAACAGGGCACGAACAATACGACTCGTAGGTGGAAATAAAATCGTTCCGTTTCTCACTTGCGCGAAACTACGCAGTGACTCGTACGAAACTGAAATTACTGTAGCGGATATTAAAATTTACACATTACTCTTCCGGTGAAAATTACCGGCGTCCTGTTTATTTTCTCTCGTAAGTTGCCGTGCACCGTAATTGAGCAAATATTTTCACGGGGACGCGGGAACGGGGTCAAAGAAAGTACTGCTGTCTAGCAACCAGAAGACTATTCCCTCGACCGTTCATAATTACTTCTGTAAGCTTCGACAATGGAAAAACGTCGATTTTGTAATATTCTGAACCTCCTAACATGGTCACTCTACTCTTTGTTTATTTATTTATTTAATCACGTTGGAGGTAATTAACTGAAAAGTCAAAGAACAGTTTCTGTCAATCCTTTACGTCAGTCTAAATATTTCCCTGTGAGCGAAGTAAATTTTCCTTACGCTTTTGGTACCTAATGGTCGCGTTATAACATCAAGAAGAGGAAAAATATTAAATTCGTTACGAAGTCGCATAGATGAGTTATAAATACTGTACTGACCGAGTTAATTATTTCGCAAGAAGCCCCTAATCCCACAAAGTAGAGAGAGAAACGATTCTACGAAACTTTATTAAAATTTCCCGCTAAATTTTATCCTCCTCGCAGCGAAAATTTCGCTTTTATATTATTCTCAGCTTCCCCGGTATTGGCCAGACTGTTCTACCAATTCTACCACGCGATAATCCCTCGCAGTCGAAATCTACGCTTCCTGGATCGTCGTTCTCTTTCTACTTTTTATTCCCTTTTTAACGCGGTATTCTCGATTTTATAAACCTCGGCGCAAACGTTCTCGGCTTCGACGCCTGATCCCTGGAAAAATTCATCGAACTTGCCGCGTAATGAAAGACAAATAACGGTTGGTACCGGTGAATCCGAAATGCGGTTTTAAATACTCCGACTTGTTCGCGGAGGCTTGTTCGAAGAACGCCGTTCATTCCGCGTCGCAAAACCTGAATATCGAGACACGAAATACCGAGATTAAACTTGGATAAGCCGAAAGTGTCCACTGATAATAACTATAACAACAGAAGACGCCTAGAATTACATGTCCTTGCCACTGAATTACCACGTGCCTCAACGTCTATTTACTCTCTATCTCTATCTAGACTACTCGCGAAAGAAGTACGCTCGTTAAATTTGCCTTTTCCCAAAACCCCTTTAAACTTCCCTAAATCAGTTGCCTTGGTATTTAAGTTTCGTTGGTACGTACCATAATCAACAGCAGGGTCGGTCACGCGTCGAGCCATTTCGTCCGAACGCCACGAAGAATAACACGCAACTGAAACAGAAAGACATGGACGAAAATTAATAACATGCCTGACTCCTGATAAATACGTTGGACCACGTCTCTCGCACGTGATACTCGTGTTCGACCCGATTTCCTTACCACGAGTCTAAAACGATATTGTAGGCAAAGGCGTTAGCAATAAGAATATAGAAGATAAGAGAAATAACTCATAGGTTAAAGAATAGAACCAAGGTCTGCTCGAATTAAAAGAGACCTGAAAAAGGACTTAACCTTAGCCACTTCGCGGAAGGCTATTTATTATACCTAACAAGCCCACCGAAGTCATTGCAACGGATTAACGAATCATGCCAGTAGAGGAGCACGAGTACTCGAGGTGTCACTTCGCGTATCTGTACACATGGTGGAAGCGATTCCTGCACGAAACTCACTTATGCATACGTGTATGTAGCTGCGTCCATATGTGCTCGTACGTCTTAAGTGTTCCTGGACACTTACGCGTACGTGGCCGTTATGCGTCTGCCTGGTGGCACGTGTTACGTATGCGGGTGTTAATGCGTTTCTATGCCCGCGGATCGAGCGCGCACGTGTCTCGATTGTGTACGTGTGTTGGTGCAGGTTGGCGCGCGCGACCGCGCAGGATCAAGATTGATAGGGTACAAATCGTAACACGTACGGAGCATCCACTTAACGGTGCATTATCCCGATGAGAATGTGTACAGGCTGGATCTCTTACCTAATGCAGCGGCTGCAATTCTGATAATGGCAGCCACTTGTCCGCGCAGGAGCTGCCTTGAACTCGAGCTAATCGTCGGTTTCGACCGTTTCGTGCGAGAAGAGTGGTTCTTCTTCCGACAGCAAACACGGACCAACGATCGTCAATGTTGCACGCAAACATGCGAGACACGAACTGGTCCCTGAAATACCGTGCCACGCGTTCGCGAAAATATTTCAAAATATTGTTTCCTCGACTATGCCGAGTCCTTCGAGCAGTGATCGAACTACGTTACACGCACGAGCACGAACAGTTAAATGGAAAAATTCGTATTAAACAGAGATCTTTGAAATAATACCAAATATCATTCTTTTTCCGATATCAGCGATATGTAATCAACTTCACCTACTCATTGTATACCCGACTGTACGTGATTTTTAAATTCCACGTAATTTGGCTCGACTCGTGTACCATCCGAGAATGTTCGCCGTACTACAGGTCGAGAGTCACTGATTTTAAATAAAATAGTTCAAGTACGTCAGACGATGTGTTCAAGTAGCGAGAGGTAAACAGACTGTACCTGAAGGATCTTCGTGTACGTGTATAAGCATCTACGTAAGGGTGTTTGTCATCTTCTACACATGCGATATGTAATTCTATCGTATAGTACGACACGAGAATATTCAAGTACGTTCATTGTACGAGCGAAGCCTAAGACACGACGAAAAATGATAGCCTGTCAAACAACGTGCTGAAATATAAAAGTGATCGAAGACAGACAAAGCTTCGCGCGTGCAAACACTTACGTACTGAGTGTTATGTTAAACACCTCGCAACTAACACCGTACGTGACACGTGATCATAAAACATAAAAATATTCTCAAATATTCACCGTTTGAACGAAGCAGCTCGAGACACGTGAGAAAGTATGGTCAGTCTCTGTCGAGCATGTTGGAGGAGCGAAAAGTGATGGAACTGTGTCAAAACGAAGCCTCGCGAACACGAGAGTGCCAATGTCAGTCATCTTCGAACTTCTACAAGCGCAGATGTATCTCCGAG